TCTGGAGAGGAAACTTTATTACTTTTGATTTTTTATTTTTGTTTCGACCGGCGTGCAGCGATATGCATCTCGCTTTGAGGCGGATACCGCCGACACAATCTCTTTTTTATCGCGTACACGATCGACTCTAAAGAAATCTGACGGTCTCCGAGAAAAATATCATGAATTTATTACGCAAAATAACGGGATTCAAAATTCCAGGAAAAAATGGGTAAACGGATATTCTTAGTATTCTTAGTTCAATTGTTCATTTTTCTCTTGCACTATTTATATGTTTATTGTAAAATGGCAAGTAGTAAATAACTGAATAAACAAATAAATGATGAGATATTTTGAAAAAAAAGGATCAATACAATACGCGTTCTCATTGAAATTGAAAAATATTTTTTTTAATAAAAAACAGAGTTGGTGCTCTACTCGAATGTTCGAAATTTATGAGCAGCACTGCCAATAGTTTACAAGTGGAAGCCATATTTGACCAGTTCGTAGATATTTTATTGAGTTTCCACATGACAATGAATGGATAAAATTAATCATTTTCTGTGGCCAAAATCACAGCTTTTTATGATCTTGTTCTTGTGGTAAAGGTTACGTTGGAGAAACTCAAGGTGAAGAAATCCAGTTGTCGAAAAAACTATCTGAGAGTTATTATTGACGTCGGACTGATCCACTGGATTACTTTGCTAATTTCATAGACGTCGCAGAAACCATTATCTGGACTCCATAGGTTTGGTTTCTATGACATTATTGGATTTGTAGATTTGTTAATACACTTTTGTGATCGACTACAGCTGTAGCCACTTTTCTAGTCTCTTAGCATACTAACCTTTCTAGAACCAACATCTATTTGCCGTGAAATCAACGCGATCGGCGGCGGGATCGATCCTTGTCGTGTACGATCAGATGTCCTAGCGGTCGATCATGTAAAGTACAAACATTTCGATGTTGGAACTCGGAATTGTCTGTAGACGACTTACGTACCTGGCAGGTTTGTTGTACCTGGTAGAGCAGTTTCCACGCTGCAATCTATTGAGACTCAGCCCTTAGCGTGGGGATTCTTCTTGTCGGTGAGACGAGACCCCTTTTCATTATTATCATCATTATGATCATTATGTTGTTGTGTTATGATATCTCATCATCATAACGTCGATAATGATATATTTCCCCAAAATTAGAATGAGTAATTCGTCTGAAAGACACCCAGTGCTTCAAGTCCATTGTGGTCCAAAAAACGTAGTTGGTCTACTACAAGGTTCCTTAAAAGAGGAGACAAATCACTTTCTTAAGGCCAGCCCCCAGCTACCCCGTGCAATTATTGTTAGACCACTGGTATGTCACCAAAAGCAATATTGAAAAGGCAGAACATTCCATGATTGTTGCATTTAACCCGTTTGATGAGCATGAGAAAGGGCAAATATGAGACGAATTTCTCTACTACGTCTGGGGTTTCAAAGTGTATTGGAAAGAATGGGTCTAATCTGCGTCTATAGATCTTCAATAACTTAATTTTTGTTATACTGTGGCAATTATGTACTCATCCTATTATTAAAGAGTACTGCTGATAGTAGTATGAATAACGACGCCACAGTTAGCAGTATAAAACATTCTCACAGCAGATAAACTTGACTTCTTAATTTTTTCTGCTGAAACAGCAACAATCACTAGGTCCTCGTTGATTTGGTTTTTCTACGTATTTGCCGATGAAGCTTAGCCGCATAGATGTAACATAAGTTAGAATATCTATCATAGGACCATTTATGCTGGAGGTTAGTATTAATAACTCCCCGTAAAAAGGGGAGTTATTAATACTGCTTTCACCAGATACTCACGAGTAACATAACGGTCAGGTCTTTTTACGCCAGTATCGTGCTTCTACATGTTACCTTTACATTTTTAAGATATTCTAGAGTCAAAGTGAAATGGTACCTGATAAACATTGAACAAATTTTGCTAACGAAGATTATCGTGTATGTGACTCTCAGCAATGGTTGGCCATTGTTTTGGATTACTGGTTTTTATCTAGGAATCATACTTAGAACAATACCAACAAGATTGAAACAAGATTAGAAGAGGCTAATATTTGGGAAAGAAAGTTTTTGGCTTTCTACTTCCCTATCTTGATACAAAAAATGTAGGAATCTTCCAAAGAAAGGAAGGAAGCAATATATATAAAAAAAATACTCTGTACAAAGATTGAGTGTTTTTTCTTATAACGTTATCCGTATTTGCTACTGAAGAGTCGATAAGACAAAATATCGAATGTCTAGCAGTGAGGATGACAGTGTTCCATGTAAGTGTTATTTTACTTCTTTCATTAATTATATTGTGTAGGAATCCTGTGAATGATATCTGATTTCATTACGTGTGTTTGGAATACAAACAGAATAGAGAAAAGTGTTTTTCGCATAATTCAGCGTTCAATTTTCAGTCATTCAAATTTAAACTGGCTTCAAATCATCAATACGCGGAGAATAGTCAAAGATTATAATATCTTCTCGAATTCGATATATTATGTTCTTTACTTCAATAAAACCTAATGAGTTGATCATTTATAACCACAACTTGATCAATTATAAAATGGAGGATAAAAAATGACTAATTTAGAGATTGAGGTCGAATCAGGCCGCACGGTTTATATACTTGTTTGGATTTTGGAAAATTCACGAATGTTTTCACCAAGCTGATTTTCAGTACAGACGGTTGGACTACAGACTGGACTGTATTATAGAAAAAATGTATAGGGGTAGTTTTTCTACCTGAATAAATGTTCACAAAATCGGATTGAATTAAAAAAAATCGATAAAGTTCAGTAACTTTGAATAAGCTGAATAACGAAGTACATACCAGTCGGTGTTTTTCTTGCAAGGAGTCCAAGAGATACTTTATACATGAAATTTGGATTAGGCTAATGAAAACGTTCATCTATGTTCATTATGGGTTTAAATGGACTGAAAATGGATATTACAGATGGTGTCTTCCTTGGAATAAGTCCAAGTGTTTCGATTAAAATGGTTCCGATCTATATTTCTACTTTATTTGCACAACTTGTTAGAATTTATAATATTGTATTTTGTTGGGAAAGAGAGGTTTTGACTTTCTACTTCTCCATTTTTATACATAAAAAAATGTTGGGATCCTCCAAAGAAAGGAAGAAAAAATTAATTCTATACAAAGATGTGTAGATCATAAAAGTAAGTTACTTTCAGACACAAACTGGAAGAAAATCCTACTCGAAACAGCTACTTTCATATAAATATTTAATTACACGAAACATTCGTTATGGAATTGAATCAGATATCATTTATAGGATTTCTACACAATACAGTAGATGAAAAAAGTTAAATTTCACTTACATGGAACACTGTCATCCTCACTGGTAGACATCCCATGTTTCGACATAAGACACTTGCTTTATCGCCTCTTCAGCTCCAAATCTAGATAACATTATAAGATGAAGCCCTCAATTCGTTCATAAAATGACGACTTGATGTCACGAATGAGTTTAATCTACTCAAGTCATCGATGACACTACGTAATGTCATTCATTCGCTTATTTGTTGTATGAAAGTTAGTTCTTTGCAGGATCAACACATCTTTGTGTAGATTCAATTTTTCGAAAATGATTTCTTTCTTCTTTTCTTTAGGAGACCCTCCACATTGTTTTTTGTTTAAATATGGAGATCTAGAAACCCAAAACCTTTCTTTCCCAAAAATTAATCTCTTCTAAAAATATACTCCTTTCAATTTAAATATATTTTGTGTTTCGTCTGAAAATGCTTCTGGAGTAAGCAGGTCACCATAATTTTTGCTATGTTTTTAATCTTGTACTATATCTGACATTTCTGTGTTGATCCAACCTAATTATTTAATCATGGTCATTATTCGCCACTGTTTCACTTCAGAAAACTTGTGAACATCCATCTTATATTCTGGTCAGCAAACTCTTCAATATTGAATAAGCAGCGTAATATTTCTTATACTTTATGTTTTTGTGTTCGCATCAACTTTTGAATGTGACAGATGTATTTCTTTGCTTTTTCGTTAAGAATCCTGAAGTAGGTAACTATCTTTTCTATCTTCTACAGTCAGAACTGAAGATGTACATATCCCCTCTTAGATTATCACGGTTACCTTATTTTTTCATTCAGTAGTTTTGATTTGATTTCTGTTGTGCACACAAAGGAATCATTCTAGAGTTTCTCTACAACTCAAAATTCATTGTCGACATCAGAATTCTTGTTGTATGGCATCACTGCTGATACGAAAGTTTAGAAAACCTTCGGAATCGTACCTTGCGGAACACTAACATTCATGTCATAAGAATTTCGTTATCATAATGATAATGCTTTTCATTTTTTTTCATAATTTTGTAAGGCTCAGCTTTTTTCCTATGGCTAATGATGCTAGATATTTGTCAGCAGGTAAACATTAAATATGCACTTGTATAATTTCGATGCTTTCATTCATATTGGATTTTCTCTAAAATATAATATTCCTGATGAATACTTTGATACATTTTTCCATCCATACAAAATAATAATGATCAATATACTTAATCAGGATCATAAAAAAATTTTAATTATCGATTAAAAAAATATTAGTGCTCTTCTGTCTTCTAGAACGAGTTGCGAAACTATTATGAAGTGGGCAGGGAGATTTTGATTAATGAATGTAGGTATACCTTTTCAGGTATCTTTCATCCCATATGCCAGTTCTTTCCTTGTGTTCAAAACTAAGCCAAACTTAATAGAATTACTAAATATAGCTAAGTATTATAATGCATTGGCGTTGTTGGCGAATAATTTAACACAAAGTTGAGATGAACAAGCATTCATACCAAATGAGACAAAGCAATGCAGCGTCAAGTAAATATTGTTACAGGCATGAAATATTTTCTGATTTCATCCAACCATAACTTAAACATGTCTTGAAATTTTATGTTGATCAATTTTCAGATGACTCAGTCATCAATCTTCTCACCCCTATACAGACAAACTTACCTTGCAACAACGAAAATAAAACAACAAATATTGTTAGCATTTCCATGACCGAATATGTTTAATGCAACTAACGCAAATTTATCACAAATTCCGTTTTGTTCATTATTTTTCGTAAGGTCTATATTCCGATTTGGTTATATGCAAGCGTAAACGGAACTCTTGCAACACGAAGGGCACAACCTCGACCCTCACAGATCGCGGTAAACTGGCATCAGCTTCAAAGAAGTAGACGGCCGACAGCCGGCAAAGTTCAGCGCCCGATTGTTTGAATTTTAAACGTACCAGTCTAGCGGGGTGACGTTAAAAGACTGTTGGTATTAGGCAACCAATAATACAGAACACAAATGGGATTAAGTATATCAGTTCTTACAAAGATCTCTGTTTTTTATGATACCGACATAAGGTTATAATAGCTCTATCTGGTGTCGGATCACTAATGATTTGTTTTCAGGCTCTAATTCCATCAACCCCGTTTGTATTATAATAGTAATAATAAGAATATTAATTCACCATTGAGGAATTCATCTACAAATTCTTGGAAACTACAAAAGCAACCATCTGATAGGTAGCAGAGATTCAACTTTATTTTTAAATATGTTAACACTTCATGCCTGTTTTACTAATATTGAAACAGAAAGCAAGGATTTAACTTTGTTTTGAAATATGTTTAACACATCTTGCCTATTTGACTAATTTTTGGCAACTTGTAAAATGTGATTGCATCATAATGTGGTTTTTTTTCTGATTTGAAATGCTGAAACGTGATCCAACTAATTATTTCCAGACAAGTGAAAGATTTTTTGAAAAATTCAAACATACTTTTTACTGAAAGGGAAAAGTTCAAATTAACATTGATGAACCCCCCAAATGCCCAAATTATATTCACTCATAAAACTGCACAAACAGAGTTATCCAATTGGACCAATGGTTTTCTTTGTCACTGTTTCCATCAGTTAAATTATCAAAAAGGCTAATCAATATCATCTTGAACCATTGTAACTTCCAACCAAAATTCAGTCTACAGAATTCATATGACTTAATCAATAAAATAGCAAATAGACAACGCAAAATTACTATCCTTTGATGTGCAGAATATATTTCCCAGCATACCTCCTGATGATAACTATTAGTTTAGTAATAGAATTATTAGATAAAAATAGAGTGAACCCAATCATAAAACGAGAAATAATTGACCTTCTGTCGTTATGTCTCAAACAAAATTATTTTCAATTTAACTAATTATTCCTCCTCAAAAGGTTTAATTATGGGAAATCCATTAAGTCCCTTACTTGCAGAAATTTTCGTGGATAATCTAGAGAAGTCGAGCTTTAAATAGCCTTTGATTAAGAATTTTTTGTACTGGCATAGATATGTGGATGACGTTTTGGTATGTTTTACAGGTACTAAAAGGCAATTATATACTTTTCATAGGAATATTAACAAAATTCATGAAAACATAAAATTCACTATTGAAATAGAAGCAGACAACTCAATCAATTTCTTGGACCTAACAATCAGTAGAATGAACAACAAACATGATTTTTAAATTTATCACAAACCGTCCAATACGGATATTACTATACATTACGATTCTACCCATCCTTATCAACACAAAGTAGCAGCTTATAATAGCATGATTCACACATTAGTCAATGTTCCTCTTATTTTCGATAAAGAACTTAATATCTTCAAGCAAATTGTGGTTAACAATGGGTTTAAAGCCGAATAAATAAACAAAATACTTGTCAAGAAAGTCTACGCAAAAGCGATTCGAGACGTTTTTCCTATTGATAAGGTAGATAATCAAAATTATAGAGCTTTAACGTATTTTGGACAATCAACGGAAAAAGTAGCTTCATTTTTGAGGAAACGAGATAATAAAATTGCATATAGAACAAGTAACACGTTGGGAAAGTTAGTTGAAAATAATAAAGACAAAACATCCAAATTCGAGAAATCAGTAGTACCTATATAAATTAGAGTGTGGAACGTACCCTAAGGTGTATATTGGTCAAACTGGCAGGACATTTAGAAATCGAATCCAGGAACATCATACGAGCTATGTAAATAAGAAAACAAATTCAACATATTCAAATCATCTTCTAGAAGAAAATCATATCTTCTAGAAGAAAATCATATCTTCAACGAAATTTATAAACTTAAAAATTCAAACATTCTAATGAATGACCAACCAGATTTGAATAGATCACCATTATTGAACTTGTTTTCTTAAAAACCGAGAAAGAATTATTATTGATGTAGATGTGAGGTAATATATGCTTCAGGTGATCATAATTGAACAGGTACGTTAAGTTCAGGTAATTTTTTTTGGAGGTAGTCTCAATTATGATTACCTGTAGTATATAAATATTAATGTTAAGAACAACTTGAAGTATAAATCACTTGAAAAAGCTAATGTTTTAGCGAAACATGTTGTATATTGTATATATATATTTTTCAAATAAAGTTCGTGGAGATCAAATCGTGAGTTGTAGTTTTTGAAAAAAGGTGTTGATTTAAGGGTAGGGGAAAGTGGTTACCCTTCGTACACTTTTTAGATTTAATTTTTTTTCTTCATGACTAATTGTTGAATTTATCAACTTTATGTACCAGAGTATAACACATATATTGTAGTTTATTACAAAAAAGTTCGAATCTATTATGTCAAAAGGTTAAAGCGTTATAACGATTTTTCTACGATAAGATATTTGTACGAACGTACCCCACGTACGGGGTACGTTCGTACAGTAGGTGGGGTACTTTCGTACGCCATGTGGTAGATTCATACAGGGTGATTAACAAGCCAATTAAAGTCGTTGAATTTTTATTAATAATTATAAAAACCTGTATTTATCAATGAACTAACTTAAAAATATGTGACTTGACTAATAGTCGATAAAACTTTATTAAAAAAAAATAACAAAAAATAAAATCGTTCATCCTTAGTTTACTTTACTAAGCTTTACAATCAGTCTAAATGAGATGTTTACAATCATTTTGTATGACATCGTTAGAGAGTCTTTGACAATTTAAACTTAAAGTAGGTAATCATACATTTGGTTGTTTCTTTGAAACGTATTGCACATTATAATTATTTAAATCAACTGCAAATGTATAAAGTCTAGCGACATCTCTGATACACAGATAAGATATATTCATCTCTTTACCGGAATAATAACTGAGAACTTTTCCGACGTAATAAACAACAGAAGTTTTTTTTTCAAACTTTACCAAAACATAACAATCATCTGTGATTTTCTCTGGTATCATAATTGAATTATTATTGATACTATGATGATAGTCTCTTCGTCCATTTTTAAATCAACTGGAGATGTTGATTTCTCCCGCAAGCTAAATTGCGATCCTTCAGATTCCTCTGAATCTTCGACGCTTTCTATTTTCTTAGCTTCCTTTTTCTTTTTTATTGAACTGAGTTCTTTCAAACTACGTTTCACTGCTTTGGCTCTGGCGTTCCTTTCCTTTTCTTTTTTTTCCAATTCTTTATGTCTATGTCTATGTCTCCCTTTATTGGTTTTTCTGTTTCTAACAGCTGTAGGATAAGGTCTTATGACCTCTGGTGTTATGGGAAGATAAGAACTCGGTACAGATTGTGTCTCGGCGGCAGATGTGGAAGATTCATCAGTTCCGGTAACAATGTCTTGAGGATTATACGACAACCGTCCTTGTATTACATCATCAATTGCTAGATTCATGGACTTTTCATCCACTTCTTGAGTAGGCGTACCTTTTTTTTATATTTTCGCACCATGATTCTGCAATAAAATATTAATTATAACGTTGACTCATCAAAAATATTTCATTTTTTTTTTAGAAGTAGAATATTTCATAAAAGAAGACATATGTTATTGTGTTATCTGCTCGATAATTTCAAAAGCTGATACTATATTTTATTTCATAAAAATTAAATTTTATATACTAGTGGTTGATACAATCTAAAGGGGAGCATTCGTACGCGTACGAATGTGCCCCCTGTCTGGCTGTCCGAATGCACCCCATGCCTTTGCACAAAATTAAAATACAACTTGATACAAATTCTAATTCCGTTCAAGAAATATAACAATTGAAGCTCAAACTAAACAATGTTAACATTAATCATTCATCACCATTTTGTCAAAAACATAACAATTCTACTTACAATTACGAACTGAACTTAGGTAAAAAATTTACTCACCGCCCGCAAAAACACGTTATGTCTTATCATCTGAAACGCCGTGGTGCCACTGGTGCGACACTCCGCTAGCAACATGGTGGTCGATATGTCTATGCACATAAGCAAAGATGTGTTTGTGTGCCGTTTAGTTTTTCTGTTATACCAACTGTACGAATGTGCCTCGCGTACGAATGGTGACCACTTTCCCCTAAAGTGAACTGACAAAATTCAACCAATCCAAGTCACGGGTTCTAGAAAATGTGTATACAACAAACACTTTATATATCAAACGAAACCCTGAGCTTGATAATCGTAGACGTGTATAAATTCAAACCGATGTCTGGATATCCCAGTAGTCTATTTGTGAAGCAAATTTACTTAGTGTGATTTATGTAGGTACACTGTGGAGCCGACTGCGTATTCCAGTGTAATTCTCATTTGAAGTTCAGCTCTATAATTGTTCTCCGATGTGGCCGTGAAATCGAAGTTGACCGTGGATCTAGAATCGTTCATTGGTGTGTTGGTGAACAGAGCGGTAAGTTGTGCGCTAGAACTCGTTTTTTTTTTGTATTTCATGATTATCTGAGAATTATGAAGGACCAGAAGAAGTAGAAGAGTAGAAGGACCACATATTCATTATACGAAATAAAGCCGAAATTTCGACTTTGAAGTCAAAATTTTGGTTTTTGAAGTTGCTTCCATAGACAATAAGTACCTAAATCTTAAAATTTTAAACCAATTATTTTCGACTCAATTCGAACAGAATTGACAACTTAACTTTGTAAATATTTTCAACAGAGAAGTAATGATGTACCTATTAATTTGAATCATTTTTGCTAAAGTGACCATTTCAAATTATACAGTGTGTAAAATCCAGATAGAATAAATTCATTATTTCGGTTACGGTATATATTTTAACAAAATCCCGAAACAAACCAAATTTAAATTATAATTTGACGTACTTCAACGGAAAAATGCTACCTCTTTCAACCCCCATCGAATGATAGGTTCAACCCCCAATTTTTTAAATGGGAATTATAGGCTTGTGATATATCGTTTGAAAGGTTTCTTCATTCAATATTCAAAAATGTTATTGCTTTCAAGTTTATTGCAAAAATTAAGATAAAATAAACTGAAATTCGAAATTACCGAAATTCGATAAAATACACTCAAAACTTATTGCAATATACTCAAAACTTATTTCATGTTGAGGTATTGATAATAAGAAAGTGAGCAAAAATCATAGCAATGTTCTTTTTAGATGGTATCCTTTAAAAAACTGCAAATAGTTTCCGTAGCAACGTTAGTTTAAAACGCTTTTATTGTTTGTATGTTGCAACATCAGTTGTCACTATTTTAATTTAAGTTTAAAGATCGTTAACTTCAAGTCTGACAAATGGTTAGATTAACGGAAATGCACAAAATAACAGTTTTACAAATGATTGGTTGAGGAGATAAAACCCGAACACAACAGGAAGTAGCTTGCCTATTTCCTCAAGAAACAATAAGCAAACTAGGGAAGCAGTTTCGCGAGATTGGTCATGTGGGGCAGATAAAAAAAAAGCTGCCAATGCAATAAGTGATGAACTCAAATTATATGTGATGCTTGAGTTTGAGGAAAACCCACATACATCGACTAGACAGGCATCCACTACATTCCATGTTAGCCAAACATCGATAGTTAACAAATTAAAAGAAAATAAAATGCATCCCTATAAAATAATACCTACTCAAGAGCTCATGGAAAACGATTTTGATAGAAGAACTTATTTTTATGAGAAAATGATGGACATGTTGTATAACAATACCTATCATCCAATTAGAATACGTTATACTTTCTGATGAGTGTACTTTGTCTCTTAACGGTCATGCTAATCGGCAAAATTTCTGCTACGGGTCAACGGAAAATCCTCACTGGATGAGAGAAGAACACACGCAATACCCTAAAAAGGTTAATGTTTGGGCAGGGATTGTAGGAAACCATATCATTGGTACCTTTTTCATTGAGGGCAACTTGAATGGCGATAATTACTAGGCACTACTTCAAAATGATGTCATTCCAGGTGGAGCAAATTTATATCCTGATCAAGTTCCAGTGAATACGATATGGTTTCAGCAGGATGGAGCACCACCACATTACCAAGTGAATGTCCGGCAATACCTCTATTTTCAATTGGTGGATAGGGAGGCGAGGATCGATTAAATTGGCCTGCGCGATCACCTGATATTTCATCATTAGATTTATTTTTATGGGGATATGTAGAGAGCGATGTGTATAAAACTAAACCTTCAGATTTGAATGACTCAAAAGAACGAATAACGCTTGCGATTAGGTCGGTCACGCCTGAAATGTTAAATAATGTTAGAAGGCAGTTTTGTTTGAGATTTGGATGTTGCCAAAACTTTCGCGGTGAACATTTTGGACATCTACTTCGTTAACATCCATAGCTTTTTTTCGTACTCTACATTTCGTTACGTTTTGCATTACATTTTAGTTTTTGAGTGTATTTTTATCGTATTTCGATAACCACATGACTTTAAATTTATTTTATCTTAATTGTTGCAATAAACTTGAAAGCGATAATATTTTTGAATAGAGAATGAAGAGACCTTTCGAACGATATATTACAAACCTATACTTCCCATTAAAAAAATTGGGGGTTGTACTTGTCATTCGAAGGGGGTTGAAGGTAGGGGTGGCATTTTTACGTTGAAGAATGTCAAATTATAATTTACACTTGATGTGTTTCGGGATTTTTTTTTAATACCTATGTAGAGTAACCGAAATAAGGAATTTCTTCCATTTAGCTTTTACACAATGTGTAAACAGGGGAAATGAGGCAGATTCATACATGAGACAGCCTGAAAATAGACGAATCGTGTCGAACATATTTTAAGAAATATAAAATTTTAATAATTCCATGTATTTATATCTTCAAATGTACCTACCATGTTATTTATTCAACATATTGACATGAAGGTAACAAACAGTTCCTCAGTATCATGATTACCCCACTATAGAAATAGTGACCTCATCAGAATTCCTGCACATAGCTCATCATTTTATGAAAAAGCCCCTCACATAGAGGTAAGAAGTTTTTAAATCATCTTCACGCAAACCTGAGAGAGCTACGGAATAAAAACTCTTTCAAACCAAAATTGAAAGGATATTTGCAAGAAAAATGTTTTTATAGTGTCTTTCTTGTTGCAAAATGAAAATGTATTTGCTTGTGTGTATGAATATAAATTGAATAAATGTATCTATGTATATGTGTACAAATCTGTTGACTTGTGATATTTTAATATTGTTGATTGTTAATGTCTCTACCATCTCATAGTATTTATTTGTGACGTATGCTATATCGTGCTGTATGTGATCTGAAAGGAATGAATAAATATATTATTATTATTATGGGGTACATTCATCCATTTTTATTTTTTTGAGTGTTACAGAGAAGGCAGTACAAGTGTATTCACACAACATAGATTGTTTGTATGCAGTCGGATGGTAAGACTATTGATTTTTTGATAAATCGATTAGTAATCGATACCCGAGAGAATTCTCTAAGACGAAATATAAAAACTATGTGTTAATAGTAACGATTTATTTTCCCAAGAAACATACAATGTTTACAGTGGGGAAAAAACAATAATTCAAAAACTAACTCTTAACACAACTAAGTACGAACAGAGCACAAAAAAAGAAAATCAAAACTGACACTTGAAAAAAATATATATGTGATTGAATATGATTATCAATATACACATAAAAATATGAAGATGCACCTCCTTCCCCTACATAATGGAAACATCATCAATTCTTCAATGCATGGATCATCATACTTAATTATTTGGTTTGGTTTAATGAAAATGTTCGAATGATCGATCTATTGAAAGAGATAAGTTTAATATTAAACGACGAAATGGTTTAGTGATTGAAAATTGTTTTCAAGAAGGGTTACATGGGTAAGAGGATGAATATTTTTTTCTTGTCAACGTTTCAATTCAATTAAATTCTTCTTCAGGGATATGTTACAAGAATTTTCATAAACATATCTGCCATAAAACTTACAACTGTTGTCATTTCAATGTCACAATGAATCATGAATTCTTGAATAAATTACTAACAGAAAAGGAGTTTTTTGGTATTGAAAATATAATCATTTTGAAAACTTCCGACATATTAGATACATAATAAAAATAAAAAACGCTGAAGTAATAAAATTTTCGAGACAACACAACACAGAGACATGAAATAAACGAATGGCTTCATTAAACTCCGTGTTAGGAATCACACGTTAAAAGGTGATACCTCGTTAGTCCTTAGTTCGTACAAGTTTCAACTTCTGAGGGTTGTAGTTCGTAGAGGTGCGACAGCTGGTTAACGAAAAAATATTTTTTTATCATACTGATACTGATGAAGTGGTCTCTGTTTCATTCAGACATAAAAAATGAGATTGAACAAAGAAGAATTATCTAGGTATTTCACTGATTAAATTGAAATATGTCATATTAAAACCATCGACATCCCTTTTAGTGTTAACACTATCGTGTTTGAGGATATTATGTATTATTTCGCTTGTAAGTCTTTGTATAAAAATGAGTATATGTTCTTTTTGATGTTGAACAAAGGCTGAGGAGTTCCATTCATGATGCTTCGAAGTCAAATAATTTGCAGAAGAATAAATGTCAATACTATGACCTCTTCTTTATTAATTAATTTTATCTGTTACTTCATCGACGATTAACATACATTTTTACAAATTATTTGAATTCGAGATTTTTTACTTTTGTTCAACTAAAAATGTTTTGGAACATCAAATGTGTTTTTTTTGGGTACAATTATTTCATGAAAACTTATTTGATTTGAAATAACAAACACTCTGTTTCTATAATGAATAAACATTTGTAGATCATCTTTGACATATGTACTAACCACAATACACCACGAATGATTGTAAGTTGCCTAACTGTGAGTGAATATTTCACTTTGATATTTGATATGAAACTTTTAAACTTTCCTGTTATTGTCAGTGTGTCAGCGATAGAAGAGATGTATATATGTAGTTTGTAGTTGTTATGGTTGTATAGTTACGGTAGTTATTTGATACGAATTTTTCTTGTAGAATTATTCAGGTTAGAATATTTAAAATGATTTTGCGGATATCATGTAGTTGGGTTTTTATTATCGCCTGAATGTGTATTCAACGTAATACTTCGAGGTATGTTAAATGTTTATTTTTACTTCCTGTTGTTTTTTGTTTATCGAACTTGTCTGTAATCTATAATGAGCATATCGTTTTGCGCTACTCCCAATGTTCACTTATTTATCTTAGTGGTTTTATAGGAGTGTTGTCGATTTTTTATTCAAACTATAGACGCTAAACCCACACAATTTTTTATATTCCATTCTAGTTGAAGTAATATACGAGGTGCAACGAAAACTGTATTTCTAGATTTCATTGGTTTATGGATTCCCGATTGATTTTTTGAGTCAATGATCACATTAAGTGCTGGGGATTTCATTTCAAACTCCTGTGTGTTTATAATCAATCAATAAAAAAAAATCAATTCATGAAATATGTGTTTTTTGTAACTTGGGTAATTCATGTAAATTAACGTGTTAGGTATCACACGTTAAAAGGTAAGACCTCGTTAGTCCTAAGCTCGCACAAGTTTCGACTTTTAGGAGTTGTCGTTTGTAGGGGTGACAGCTGGTTATTGAGAAAACAGATTTACAGACAGGCATAAAGAAATTAAAATTGGTACCTGAATATCAATATTTTGCTATACTTGTTTGTGAGCTGCCTTTGCTAACTTTATCTGATAAAATCTTTTTTATTTTATGTAAAAGGGGGGGAGCAAGCAGCTTCCTTCATATTAATTAAAACTGTGGCTTCATTGGATATATTTTGAAACAGTCTTGAGAATATTCAATCTATTGTGTAATTGTATGAGCTTTGCACAGTTATTCAAATACTTTGTTCTTAAGCAATGACTGACTTTACAAAGACGCCATCTTCAGGATTAACCTGAAACTCAAACATTGAAAATTGAATAAAGAATATGACAGTAAAAAAAACTTGAAATCGATTTTCAATATTTACCAAAACTATTTAACTATCCAGATGAAATACCTGAAGTCACACATTATCATAAAAATATTTAATATTCCAGATGTCAATAAAGAACCTTATAGTTTCTTTACTACTTCTTCTCCCTTCTCTGGGGATGATGCCAGACGATGACAGCAGCTGTTATCAACAGTGTTTTCATCAACCCCCAGAAGCCTGTCCGAGCAGTAGAAGCTCATGTAGATGTCGACAGTTGCCGAACTGTAAGCGAGCCGCTGTCTGCTGTGATATCAATAATTTGACATTGGAAGATGCCTTACTTTGTGGAAGTAGGTGTATTCATTAAATAAAAATGTTACTAATCTTGTAAATTTCTAGGATAACTGAAAACAAATTTTGTTGGGCCCCTAAGTTCTTAATTAAGTGACACACTTCTCAATCATAAACTTTTTCCAGGAACTCAAAAATGCGACCTAAAAACACTGACAATGATACTCAGTTATTTGACAGGTTGACTTGGTTTGCTATTGGTGTCATGTCTAGATTCAAAATTCACTCCTTGGTTATATTTGAATAACCAGAATGGAGTTTCTGGAATTTCCTCACTTCCATTTTTTTTCAATAGTTTTTAATTCTCCTTGTGCTGTTCATCATACCTTTCAAAATGATTCATAGTTGCTTTCAGTACATTCTAGACAGACAGGCACTCTTTCTGGTGTCCGTCACGGATAGATTCACAACAATAAGTATATCAGTCATCACCCGAAGACGATTGTAGATACTAACAATCGAAACGTCGTGAACTAACGTGACTTGGAATCGCTTCACTTTTTATTTATTAATATAATTGTTATTTTCAGCTATTCATTTTCAATTCTTCTTTTTTATTTGTTTCAGGGATTTCAAATCATTTTATATAATAGACAATGGAAGTCCGAACTAGTGAAATTCAATAAGTATATGTTAGACTATCTTTTGTAAATTATTCTCAGTTTTATTACAATTATTTGCTGCAGAAAATTTACTAAAAGTATTTCTGTCAGAAAATGTTCAAAATTGAATCCTTGTAATGAAAAAACCTAACACAAAAAAATGTTCTCTAGTTAGTAAACGAACTATTTGATTGTTTCTATTAATGAGGTAATATTAGGAAAGTACAGAATTCATGGCATTCAAGGTCTTGAACTGAAAGTGATTAAATTTGTCACTTCAGTACAAATTGTTTTCTCAATTTTTCATAAATTCCACAGATCCAAGCGTAGATCTAGGCACATTTTTTGAGGGAGAGGGAGCTTTGTTTATAATTTATTTTTAATGCAAACTGTCAATTCAATGATTGAGCAGGTAAATTTTCAACGCTTGCTTGCAAATGAAAATAATTCTAACTCGACTGTGAAGTATTGAGTTTGCTCATTTGTGACTTGCTTAAAAGGTATTAAGTAATATATCTGATCAACTGCAATTGATTGTAGCTGTTGAGTAATGAATCATTACCTAAATATCTGGGAGTAATTCTAGATTCCAAACTGACCTGGAACCAACACTTGGACAGGATAAAAAGGAAAACGGAGGTGGAACTGATGGTCGCCAGCCACACTTATGGAAAAACATGGGGGCTAAAACCAGACATGGTATATTGGCTATACATGATGGTGGTTAAACCCATGATAACATAAGCATCTCCGGTCTGGTGGCCAAAGATGAAGCAGGCGCCCCTATAAACAAACTAGGCAAGGTGCAAAGACTTGCATGTTTGGGAATGACGGAAGCAATGAGAACTACCCAAACAGCTGCATTGGAGACACTCCTGAATCTACCTCCTTTACACTTTGTGATAATGGGGAAGGCCAGGATGCACCAATTCAGACTGGAAAACTCATCGAACCACAAAAGATCGGACAGAACAAAAATTTCGGAACATGTGGAGGAGCACATATTGAATATGTGCACGGACCACATGACACCGAAGTACACCTTCAACACAAACTTCACGGCCAAAATCATAAGCCGTGAAGAGTGGAAGACCATGAGTCATCCCGAAAACATGTTTGGAAAAAACACCTGGTATACAGATGGGTCGAAGACCAAACATGGAACGGGAGCTGGAATATACCGAGCGGATAGAAATTTAAACTACAGTTATCCGCTAGGACTATACACGTCCGTCTTTCAGGCGAAAGTGTATGCTATCTTGCACTGTGCAAGGCTTATTAAATTGAGACCTCAAAGAAATGAGCGGATCAATATTTTAACAGACAGCAAGAGCGCACCAGGGGCTCTGACAAACCTGAAGGTGACATTAAAACTAGTCTGGGAATGCCATGAAGAACTGAATGAACTTGCAAACAGGAACAAATTAACTTTGTACTGGGTGCCAGGGCATTCAGGAATCACAGGTAATGATAAAGCTGATGAATGCACTAGACATCATCAGCTTCATATATAGGTCCTGAACCAGCTCTGGGGGTACCAAAATCATTGGTACGAAACCAGGTCAGGACATGGACCAATAAGAAGCACACAGAGTACTGGACAAAAGTACCTGGCAACATACACAGTTGAACCTTCATTAGGGAACCGTCCGAGAAAAGAACCGAAGAACTACTTCAATATAGTAGGGATCGGCTCACAATAATTACAGGGTTACTAACCGGTCATTGTCCGCTTAGAGGACACCTGAATAAAATGGGGCTGTACAACGGAGACCTCAGCTGCAGATGATGCAACAAACGGATAGAAACAGCTCTACACATCTAATGCGAATGTGAGGCACTGAATCACATAAGGCAGGCAATATATGGAAGTACAAAATTACGTCCAGAAGAATATGATGAACATCCAACACGGAACCTGTCTGATCAACTGCAATTGATTCGTAGCTGTTGAGTAATGAATCATTACCTACTTGGATGATGAAACTATAGTTCATTATTCAAAAAGAAATGGTCATGTATTTGACTTTTTCTGCTTTACTCCAGAGAGCCTTATTATTTCTGATGATTGTGATTTCATTATGTTCGTTCAAAATAATTTGTTAGTTTTCATTTTTTAGAAAGGGACTTATGTTGACAAAATAAGAATTGTCAACAGCCAGATTATATAGTGTGAAGGAAAAAATGCGATTGATTCGTAGCTGTTGAGTAATGAATCATTACCTACTTGTAGAATGAAAGTATAGATCATTATTCATTCATTGGCGGATGAAACTATAGTTCATTATTCAAAAAGGAGATGCCAGATTATATATCGTAATCATTCAGTGAAGAAAAATGTATACCACATTCAACAGTAGCTTTTCTGAAGCGTTTAACCTCTCTAAGCTGGTAATCAATATTTCAGTTCCCAATTTCAATTTTAGAATTGGGCTGATCATTATTCAACAGACGTGTGTAGTGTACTTTTATTGCATAACCCATCTATCGATTGAGTAAATGAATTATTTCAATATTTTTATTCTTCAGATGTTACGGCTGATGGTGTGGAAGCCCTACATATCCGAAATGCTACTTTAGATGTTCTGAACATCAGTTTACCAGTTTGGAGAAGATTGAGACTTAGATATATGACAATTACAGATGGAAAAATAAAAAGAGTGGCTGGGGAATTTGCCAAACATTCAGTTGTTTCTTGCCTTAATCTGTCGTCTAATGGAATACACAAATTTGAACGAAGATCTCTAGTGAATTTGTTCAATCTCAGCTTTTTAGATTTGTCTCAAAATAATTTATCTGAAGTGCCTAGTTTCAAAATGGAGGGAGCTGTTAAACTTGATATTTCGGGTGAGATTTGCTGTTTTAGTATATTTAAATTATAATAAAATTGAGACCACACATTACATGCTAATACCTTTAGAAAAATAATTCATACAATGACATTTTTTCCAAACATTCATTCCTTCTGAATCTACTGTGTCAACTTTAAATCTTCTCCTCAGAATATATGAGAATTCTATAATACCTTTATGGAATCATATCAACGGTATATTCGATAGCCTTTTTTTTGTGTTTCTAAAGGTCACGAAAATAAATGCCTGTTATACTTTTTTGAATGAAATTAATTTGTATATTAAGTTAGAGTGAAGTTATTTTGTATATTAGGAGAGGTTGAACAAAAATATTTCAAGGATAATTTTCTAATACATATTTTGTTCAATATTGAGCAGAATGCATGAAAAAGAATCAATGAGAAAAGGTCTATTTTAAAATATTTCTCAATGTAATATTTTTAATCAAAAAGATCATTCTATGGAATGCATTATTTTGTTCTCAATCTATCAGTTTTATGTTTCATTAATATAAATAATTAAACAAATTTAAAAAATCATAATACTTATGTTTTTTGGAAAAGAAAGGTTTGTATTTGTTTGGAATACAAACAGAATAGAGAAAAGTGTTTTTCATATAATTCAGTGTTCATATAAAAGTATTTGTTTCGGAAGTATTTTTCTTTCGTGTAATTCAAAATTTTTTTGTGAAAGTATCTGTTTCGAGAGGGCTTTTCGTCCAGTTTGTGTGTTAAAGTTACTTCTTTGCAGGATCTGCACATCTTTGTATAGAGTTAATTTTTTCCATTGCTTTCTTTCTTTCTTTCTTTGGAATAATCCCACACTTTTTTATATCAAGATAGAGAAGTAGAAAACCAAAACCTCTCCTAAAAGTTTTTTTTTTGCGATAACATACAATTTTTTTGGGGCACAGTATTATCTGTAACAGCCTGGGATACTTTTATTATATTTTCTAATTGCATCAATTTTATCAGGTTTTCAAAGTAATGTGTCTAATCTGGAAATGCAAAAAAACTACTTTTTTTTACTCTTTGATGTCCTTTTCAAGAGTGTGATGATATAACTGCCATGTTTCAACTGTTTTCAACCCCAAAACTATAAAGAAGTTGAAATAATTCCGATTACTGTGTCGAGAAAAGACACAGATATGACAAGAAATTAAATTATTTCAAAATAATATTTGAAACATTGATTTCTCCTAAAATTCCTACACTGTAGCATCTGCTGAATGCGTTCTGGAAAACAACTACTACTTTGGCTGATACCACGATGAACATTATATCCAACAGACATTTATACAAGTTATGTCACAGAGGATGATAGTCTTGCAGATGCTGGTGGTTCGTCCAGAAGCAGGTTTATGTTGGAAATAATTCAGTAGATCACTTGCAGATCAGCTTCGAGTTATCACCTCTTGTCAAACTCAAATAAGTCAATATCCGTCGTGGTATTAGCCTGGAAAGCAGTTATACCATACCCTACTGTGTTGGAGCAGCGGAGGAGTTATTAACATTGGACACGAGACTAATGACCAATGGAATCGATGCTGATCACATAAAAAAAATATAATTTTATA